GGGGTGGGTGGGTGATTTCTGGTCATCAAGAATTTTTTTTTCTGGCAATCTGCTGTTGTGGTACATTTTTTCTGTTACATTTGGGCTGCATGCAATTTCTTTCTTCTAACAAGCGCTTGCAGGAAACTTTTTTTCAAAATCACCCACCCCCCTCAAAAGTTAGATGGTCGGCCCCTAAAACCAAAGTGCCCTTTTTTCCGTTGGATGCCCTTCGTTCTCTGTTCTTTTGTCTCCTCCAACTCCGAACAAAGTTAATGAGTAAATCGAAACACGACAGCAACAAGGGCATGATAAAAAACAAAATATGAATTGAGCAGAATTATGGCCCTCCATATGCTTTAAAACTGCATGTATACCCTAGCTGTCCTCTCCAGAACCCCAAACTAACAGAAATGAAATCAATAAGTCTTGCGCGGGGTCTAAGAGCGAGACTCTCTACGGCAAGTTGTTCACCTTTCTATTTGGAACTAACGCCGCTGTCCTCAGTTGTTGTGCAAAAAGGGAGTTCTGGCGTAGTTCAAAACAGTTAAGACGGGGAACCACCCTGTAACGTTTTCAGGAAATGTAAGATCATTCTTCAATCGAAGTGCTCTAATGCTTTACCGTCCTGACTGCTAACATTTCCCAGCTACCTATAATAAACCTTTTTGCTTGGACATTTAATTTCCTCGAAAGTTCAGTCGGTCAAATAAAAAATTGTTTCAATGACTAGTTTGAGTAGGAAACCTTTCTCTTCTTACGGTTCAGCCACAAGCAGAACTTAAAGCTTAAGACATCGAAACTATTGAGTTACGTGCGGGCCGGGCCTCTAAGTTTTGCGCAGGTCTTACGTTTGCAGGTTTTCCTAACAAACCCAACAGTATTTTCTCAGTATTTTCTGCAAGGGACCGTAGGTACTTTTCCCATACCTAACAGCGTATTTCCCGCGCTTAGCAATATATGCATATTTCTCTTTAGGGCTCTACCAAGAGACTTACAAACTTGTTGGACTCTTTGCTCCCAGAGTCTGCTAGCTTATCTGCATCCTGTATTGGATTATGGCTTGAGATTTCCATAGTGTGGTAGCTGATAAAGGAGAGGCCCGAATCAACAATTACGTAGAATTCGAAAGCGAATAATCTTATCGTTTTAGGGGTTAAACTACGAGTCGGTAATAACAGAGCAACGAGACAGGCTAAGGTCGTAGTTCATTTTTCCTTACATTTGCTCACCGGGCTGCCCACTTTACTCACTGGCAGCGTAGTCGATCAGACTGGAGCACCAGTGTCAGAACAATAGCAGAGGTAAATGAATAACAATTAAAAGTGAACAACCGATTTAACTCTTGTGCAACAACAGAGTAGATATCGTCTTAAATTGACGGCGAAAAGCAATTTCGATTTGCTCTATGTCCTCCGCTTGTAGAAACGGAAATATTCCTCATCTACGGCACACTAAATGAGAGAAACAACAAATGAAATCATTTTTATCATCATTGATGTTTTGCAGCTAAGTATCAAGCAGGCACGGTGTGGCAAGTGGATATGAAACTCCCAAAAAGGAATTTAGGGAGAAAGGGGGTTGATGGCTCCGCTCCCATACGAGACAGGACAAGCTTATGGCCTAAAGGGGTGATACCATATACAATAGCATACAGCATTCGTAAGTTGTCCCAGTTTCTAAATGATTTCTTTTCATTCGGTAAGGTAGCCGACGACTCAATCCTCATAAGTTTAATTCTCCTCTTTTTTTTTCAGCCGGAAACAGCAAAATTCGTCAACTTCTATCAGATGCCATGGCAGAATGGGAAAAACATACGTGTATCAAATTCGTAGAAAGAGAGAATCAGGCCGATTACGTGGAGTTTTACTACGGAGAAGGGTTAGTAAATACACCACAATAGTTTTTGATCATGAAACTTGTTTTTCTTTCTTTTTAAGTGTACTTAAGTGTACTTTCCTTAGTCTCCTCTCCCCTTCCCCCCCCCCAACCCATGGTAGCCGTTAAGCAGAGGTTAGACTGTATAATACATTAGCTGAAAGTAGTACAAGTCGACTGACGTCCAATGGTTTGATAACACGTTGCTTTGTTAGTTTCAACCCCTTTTTTAATTTCATTGAAGTTGTAACTCTGATGTTGGCCGAGTTGGTGGTAGACAAACCACTTCCCTAGGACGAGGATGCGCGCACCATGGCATTGTGGTCCATGAACTGGGGCATTTGATTGGTTTTTGGCACGAGCAGAACCGCCCCGATAGAGATAACTACATTATAATAAAGGAGGAGAACATAATACCCAGTGAGTTTGAAATTTTAAAAGATAATGTATTTGGGAAAGTTTTGCATTATAAAATCTTCACGACGAGCCATTTAATGATGTTTCATTACTCGATGGGATTATCATTTACGTGATTAATCGTGGGATTTACTGATTGATGGAAAGTTTACTGGTGTTGTTCATTAACTGATTTGGTTAACTTTGATTTGGTTACATTTTGGTTAAACGCGTGCATTATCTCTCGTCAGTTGCTCCTACATTATGATTGGATGAGGGTGAAATTGGACACACAAACCCATGTGTTCCAGACCCCAAGTTTGCGAAATCTCCCAAAACCCAAATCGACCGATCAATGATTCTGACAATATCGGAACCAAAATGTATGTTGTTCTGTTTTGTTCTACAACGCTTGCTCCCAAACGAATTTCCTGCTCTCATTTTCCAGAGTTCAAGTTCGCGTTTGATAAATACAGTTCACGGAAGATTGACAGTCTTGGTGTGGAGTACGACTACAAGTCCGTCATGCACTATGGCGAAAAAGCCTTCACTAAAAACGGTTTACCGACCATCGTGGCGCGACAATCGTCCATAACAACGTTTGGAAACTCTCACTTAAGTTCACTGGACATCCAGCAAGCAAACCTCCTGTACAGGTGTCCAGGTTCGTATTTATAAGCTAGTGTTGTCACCATTTTCTTGAACGCACCCCATCGCCCAGAAGTCAGCGACATATCCGGAACTTTCACTGAGACGCTGGCCCCAAATTTAAAAGATAATTAGAGGAAAAGGGCTGAAAATGTCGAGGAAGGCTTACGTTCTATTCGTTTACGGATAAACTACTTTTAAAATGCTACTTTTACCAAAGGGCTTTTAAAGAAGAAAGGTCAATTGAACAGTGTATCATTCTCACTTTGATCTTGCGCTTTCAGAAGAGGTCGCAAATTTGCCTTGAAAATTGACTATGTTAGCATCTTGCTCTTATGAGAAGTCGATCTCAGTGCACTTTCAGGCGTAATTTATATTCACTGAATTGTTAGATTTCTCTTTTACCATACGGTTATTTTTATTTGACATTCAAGAAAGCGTCAAGAGATTTCAAACTTTGGAAGTAGTCGCAAAACGCGAATTTCGAAAGCGTTTGCTCGGAATCGTAGCGTTCTCTCCAAATTTATCGTTTGGAGACTCCCACGAGAATACAAGTGACCTATTTTAAATACGAAGGCGCGCTATAATAGGAGCCTTACGTCCCACTGGACCATTTGCCAATCAACCGTCGTGTGATTTAGAACTCTTAGAGTCAAGTCAGCTTGAGCTACAGCTACTCCAAAGCAGTGAACAGCGGGCGCATTCCTCAAAATCGTTTTATGTCTTCATCACAATACAAGAATTTTTGAGATTTGTATTTCCTTTCTCCAATGAAAACTGTCTTTATTTGTGGCGGTAAATTTGAGATCGAAGTTGGTGGTTCGCACGTTACCTCATGCCACCATGCTGGTGGAAGTAAACAATAGATATCTCATTAGCTCCTTTTGTTCGTCTAATTTGACCCGCACACGTCAACGGTGAGTGACAAATGAGCCTAGGTCTTCCCAGGGAAGACCTCCTTATATAGCGGACCTTCGTGTTTAAACTTCCCGCGTGAAAATCGAGAATATGCTAAGCTTCGCCTCCGCAAACAATTGCGCATACTCCGCCTAATTAGTATTGAAATTGAGGTGGTAACTAGACAATGCTTACAAAACTATAAAAGCTTTTACGATATCATCGCTGCGATCGTTGCAAAAATATTCAGCAATCGTTACTATCGTGTGGAAACCACACTCCAGCTATTGTCGTCGCAAGATAGACTTATGTAAGTAACTTTAAGTAAGTTAAATAAAGGCTGATAGTTTCTAAAGAAACTGTTTGGGGCTGCGTCGGTGGGGGTAACAAAATAATTTGAATATATCAACAAAGTTGAAATGGTAAATTGGCCACCGTTACGATTATAAAAGCTTTTATAATCGTAACGATGGCCAATTTACCATTTCAACTTTGTTGATATAGTCAAATTATTTAAGTAAGTTACTTTATTTAACCACATATCGCATATGAGCGATAGCTCGTTTAAATGTTAAGTTCTATCTCGACAATCGTCGCAATCACATGCAGAAAATAGCAAAAAATGCAATCCTCTCTTTCTCCTGTATTCAAAAAATAAAAAAACTGAGAACTGTCTGTGAATTGACTCAGATCGATTTCCATCGCTCTTTAGACTTACCCTTTTGTGTCACTTTCTTATTTTTTTTCATTCCTAGATTATCCAAATTTCCCGAAAGATTTTGTTTGGAGCAGCAATGGGCCAATGAGAAAGAATGCGACTTATAATATCTATGCCAGATGTATTCGAATATCTCATCATCGATCAACTAGCTGGAGCGACAATTATTTGTGCTACAGAAGGGACAAGAAGTCTCTCTCGCTCAGGTAACACCAGCCACTGCATTGAAGTTAAACCGCGTCAATTATTCATTTTTGTATTTAGTTACTATGATAGGAATCTGAAAAGAAAAGGATGTGATCTTCGGTGAAAAGTGGGAATCATCGTAGATACAACAGCAATATGATTACACCACGTAAAACGCAGCGACCATCTGCATTCAACTTTGCTACGTATTTTATTCTTTGCGTGCGTTCAATATATGACAAGGCATGCTTGTGCCTTGAATAGGGTGTGCATCAAGGATGTGCAGTAGGAATGGGTGCAAACGTACCCAACTGTTAACTGTAACTGAAGCCCAAACTGAACCAATCACTAACAAACAGGATGGCGACCACTTCTCACTTCAATCTTTTCCTATCATTTTCTTTTTTGACTCCAAGATTACACGTAGTAGTGAATCGATTTGTTTGATAGTTTTTCAGGCAGAGGACCCGTACCTGGCAAAAAGTGCATCCAACTTCGCATACCAACAAAATCCCATTACGAGAGCTGGGCCAGATCTTACTTCTGTTGGCCGCACGATGGTATTTACAAATTCAAGTGGTTAACACATGCGCCAACTGCCGAGGAGAGACCCAATTGTTTGGAATTGTGTGAACCACGCGATCCGACTTGGGGTCGTAACAAATATTTCTTGTGTGCTACAAAAGATCGACAACCTATTGGTAATTTTTTTTTTTTAACTAGTGTTATCCTTATTCGTGTTTTTGTTTTCTTTTCCTGTTTTCGTTCCTCAATCACTAGTAGAAGCGTTTCTTTCTTTTGGTCTGCAAAAATGATTTACGCACTGGACTGAATTCCACAAGACTTTTATTATATTAATGTACATGTCTGTCTGTGTGTTTGCTGTTTTTTCAAGTGCAACCAAATTAATTGTTGTGATCAAAAAGCGCATTCGATAGGAAGATTATCTCGACTTACCTCTCGTGTCTGAAAGTAAATTTTATTTCTTACCGATATCAAATAAGAGAGATAGAAAACTCTCGCGTCAGTTGGCCTGTACCTAGAGGAATCCACTCTGCTTGAGAAAAGCAAGAAGATGAGTTGATTGTAAAATGAAACAGTAGCACGTGGGGAATAGCCTAGGACAACCAAAAACAAACCTAACCCATATGCGACGCAACGTACTTGACTTAAACCCAGTAATACTGAAATCTCTGCGACGAGAGTGCTTTTACACTATACCATCTCTGCTAGCTCTCTGTAATAACAACAACGAAAAACAGTAACTCTCATCGTTATTCTAGTTGTAAATGTTCCTTTTTTTTATTGTTTCCAGATGGCAATTGGACCAGATGGAGACCATGGACAACATGCACACGTAAGTGTGGAGGGGGAGTTCAGAGTCGCCTTCGCTCCTGCACCAATCCTCAACCGTCCTTCGGGGGTCGTTACTGTGTGGGCAAGGCCTCCGAAGCAAGGATGTGTAACACACAAGAGTGCGCAGGTATTTTTGAAACATTAAAAGTTGCAATATACTTTGAGTGTAGACTGTAACAAGGAAAGTTTTCCATTGTCTCTACCAGTCTCCCCAGATTATACCCCCCCCCCCAACTCACGACTTTGTCTGACTTTTTGGTGTTGTCCAATTGAGTCCAAATAACATATTTCTTGGTCTAGAATAGAGCAAGGAGAATACTTCTTTTAGCGTAACGCGGGTATGGTAATTTTTCTCTCACATGATTGCAAACTGACTCCGCTCTGTGATGATTCTTTCTTCTCAAGTACGTTTAAGGTATAAGAAGAGCTACATGATATGCATTTCAGAGTAAACAAATTAGCCCGGACATTGTAAAAGAGGTCTATGCAGCATGTCAGCGATACTTCTCGTTATTCTATACCATTGGTCATCCGATGATCATTCTTTACAGAATGGCCAAAATTCCCGGAAGACTTCAGCTTCGTTCGAAAACCAAGAGCAGGCTCAAATGAAACGTGCATACGAATATTCGAGCGATTGGACTATTTCGCCTTTAAGGACTTCCTACTATGCTCGGCGGCGGACAAGAGGCAGCCAGAAATGCGCTGGTCAGACAAAGGGGATGTCAAATACATGGAGTGTACACGAATCCTTGTTCCTAAGGATGCACGTAGAGGTCGTTGGGACGATAACTATTTGTGTATTGCAGCGAACAGTGGGTTTCCTTACAGGTGAGCTAGCGAGGGTCGTAGTGGTTAAAACCAAAAATTTCACGGTCTGTTTCACGTATCAAGAAGTAAAATTAAAATATCAGAATATCAAAGAGCGCTTATTTGACAAGCATTTTCTCTTCGGGGGAACTTCAACTTGGCAAAGAGTAGTTGAAAAACTGACTATGCTTCGAATGTTCAATGCCTCTTTCCTCGGTAAAATTTACCCTGTTGATGAATAAAATACAATTTGATTGTTCTTTCATACATCGCTATTATAAAAAAGAATTATACTTCCATAAAACACTAATCACGTTTGCTTCTGGTGCTAATAACTAGAAAAGAGGCTGGGAGAATGACCTCCTCCGGTGTTTCAACAAATGCCAAAACATTCTGCGGAATTGACGCAGTTTTTGTGTTGCCATATTTCTCCTGATCCCGAGAAACAAAAAATGAAGATTTCGAATGAACCTCAATTGGAAGCTGATTTCAAACAAGACGGGATCAAAATATGAATGTTAGTTTTGTAAACATGTACAAGAAACAGCGATTTTCATCACAAAATGGTAGTTCCTGTCACAGAGACAACCAGTCGGTAAACTTTGATGGAAAACTGAGTGCTATTGAGAGGATGGACCTGGGAGACATATTGAGTGTCGGTAATATCGAAAGTATTTCTAATGTTAAACGTCCTCATTAACTAACAATTATCTCTGGTCGTCTAGATTTGTGTGGTCTTATTCGAACCAGATTCCAGGCTTACCTTGTATGAGATGGTATGCGAAGAACGGGAGAAGTGGTTGGAATGAAACGTATCTGTGCGCTGAGGATCGCTTTAAGTCTACAGGTAAGTTAAGCAAGTAGGTAAAATAGGTGTCCCTCATGTCAACATATCATACCATATCATTGCATACACCGCAATGAAGTAATTGTTACCTATTAAAAACTGTGAGAAGATATTGACTCATTCCAAAGTTTAGCAGAGGTTCATACATAGCTTGTCCTCCTGAAACAAAAGAAACGACAACAAAAATTAAACTGCATTTCCGTCTTGTCTAAATTTTGGGAATTGGTGCTGCAACTTGATGACACACATGAAATTGTCTAGAGGCCACAATAAATGGATGTTCCATCGTTATTATTGCAGCGATTCCAGAGCGCATCATAAATGGTGGTTGGTCGCTGTGGACTTCATGGAACACTTGCAGTAAAAGCTGCGATGGCGGTAAACAGCGTAGAGTACGGTTATGCGATAATCCAAAACCCAATAGAAACGGTCGTCCTTGCCAGGGCAAACATTTGGATGAGAGGAGATGCAATGAGCAGAAATGCCCGTCCGGTATGTACCTTAAACGTCGATATGACCCAGAAAGCCTGAAAACCAATACTCCTGATGGACACTATCATTTTGCACCAAATCCACTATGCCGGTGATAGTGAAATCCAAAACAAAGCTACTTCAACCTTTCGCGTTTCGTCCACTTTTGTCTTAGAGTCTGTTTGCGTATCTTGTAAACCAACATGGCGGATTAGGTTCTATAAACAATTATCACTTACTAATGACATAGTTAACGCAGGCCCTTGGGAGTTGCAAAGAACATTCGTTTCACGAAAGCATTTGAAGAAAATCATTACATAAAAATGTTGAATAAATCATGTCTCTTTACTGTACTTTTTCTTCTTCATTTTTTACATAAATGTGATATGTCTAAGGCGAAGACTTTGGTTTTCACTTACAGCTTGTGGCACTGAGTTCCGAGCAGTCAGCGGAAGATTTAACTCACCTAACTATCCGAAGCCTTATCCGGGAAAAATGAAGTGCGAGTGGATTATTCGTGTGCCGGATGGACAAAGAATTCAACTCAAGTTCCTCTTCTTTAATATTTACGGTGAGCCTCTAACTTCGGGTTTCCTCTTCGTGGGTTAAGGCATCTTGGAATTTTAAGAATATTGCGGCCGTTTTGAAGTTCATGTCGTTAAGAATTTTTCGAATAAAAAATATTAAAAAACATTTCCCAATGAGCCTAGTATCCACACGTCACTATAAACGATACATGAAATCTTCAAATAAGCGTTTTCCTTTATTTAAAAACTCGCCCGAATAACACATCTCTGAAGTAAGTAGCTTCCTTTCGGTAAAAGTTTGAAGATAGAGCCCCGCGAATAAGTAACTTCGACATCTTTGTTATAAATCTTGATGCTGTTTTCTTTAAATTCTTTTATCTGGAATGGATTTGAAAAACGTTAGTTTAACCCCACTTTTGAAAAGCGAATTTGTTTGACAGCTAACTCTGCGTACAACCTTGTTTTGCGATTGTTTGAATAAACAACAGTTCCAGGGCAGTGGCGAAGGCTTTCTTTCCTCGACATAATTTGATTGCAACTTAAAAGTTACCTTTGCAATTCTGTCCTCCTACAGGCCCAAAATGCGACGATTCGGTCGTAGTGTACGATGGCCAAACTGTCTCGTCCCGTCGTTTCGGCAAGTACTGTGGCTCCAAACTCCCGCCCGTTCTTCATTCAAGTTCTAACGTTCTGCTCGTTAAATTCCACTCAAACCTACAGCGAGGTTACTATGGGTTTAACGCCAAATGGGAAGCGAAGAAGGTGGAAGTAATGGAAACTGCAAATGGTAAAGCTATGTAATGAATATATCTTAAGCATTAACTAATATGAAAATAATCATCCACATCATCTTCATTATGAAAAATGATCAAAGTGATCGGTGAAAACTGATCTCTTAATTGACACTCCTTTCTACCCCTCGGCATCTGGGTACCAGCACCCCTCGACATCTGGGTACCAGCAACGATATTTTGAGATACAAAAGGCCCAAGCATGGTCTATATATCTGGAATTACCTTGTCCTTACGTAGTTTATTCACATGATTTGCAGAGTGCGGGCGGCAGATAACGGGGTCTTCTGGGACACTGTCCAGTCCCGGATTTCCAGGCAGCTATCCTCCCAACTTAGACTGTGTCTGGGTAATTACTGTTCCACGTGGCAACCATATTGAGCTCAAATTTAAAGTATTTGACATACATAAAGTTGTACGTAGAGGTTGCCGATACGATTACATCGAAGTACGTGATGGTAACTCTCGGAATTCACCGTCATTGGGAAGACACTGTGGAAAATCAGGTAAATTAAAGAGCTCTTATTAACGTGGGTTTTTTTTTTTTTTTGAAAAATTATGTATAGTTTTCTTCTGCTCCTCGATGTATCAGACAAAATAAACCCGAAAGGCAGAATGGTTTTACACTTACCTTGCGTGCTCATCCAAAATATATTTTCGTGCCAAATTCCAGTTTGCAAGCTCCCATTCAAACCAGGTTGAAGCTGAACTGGGCTAGCCTGCATGAATATTGCTAATAAATAAATAAATCCCAAATCACGTGGAGAGATTTGAGTTTCAATTTTGTCGTTTTAGTAATTTTAATTTGTTAAGTGCGGCATCATTCCCATCCTTAATTTAACCTGAACAAATTTCCAGAAGGATGACGAAATACTGAGAAACAGAGCACTGTACAGACAGGTTGAATTTTTCGCGGGTTTATTGTTTGTTCTCATTTCAGTTGATGAAAAGTTTCAAACTGTGTCCAACCACGTTCGCATCCGTCTGCACTCGGACGGTTCTCACGAGAGGCAAGGATTTGTTCTTACATGGAGGAGTCTCCGAAGACTCGTCGTCACGCAGGAGCCAACCACAAAACGTAAGGACCTACAATTACAATAAAAAATCTGCGATAAAATATTGGAAAACATTACACGACGTTTCCAGAACGTCATTATCAAATGAGAATGAAATAACATAACTAAGATATACATAGATGAGAAAATGAATAAATTAAGAGTCATTGAGAGTAAAACAAGAGCTTAGCCTTAATGGAGTTGCTCTGGGTGCTTAAATTAGGTCTTATTGTTCTTCTTTACAAAATTTCGTTGACCAGGCAATCCCATTTCGTGTTGCATTTTTTAAGCACCCGAAATTGGCTCTCACTGAGTAAGTTAACGTTCCCCTGAGCATCTTTCAGATGAGTGAAAGACATCTTTCGTCGTCATCTGAAAGATGCTCATGGGAACGTTAACTTACTCAATTAGAGCCAATTTCGGGTGCTTAAAAAATGCAGCACGAAATGGGATTGCCTGGTCAACGAAATGTTGTACATAAGAACAACAAGACCTAATTTAAACACCCAGAGCGACTCCATTAAGGTTAAGCTCTTTGTTTGACTCTCAATGACTCTTAATTTAATCATTTTCTCATCTTTATATATCTTAGTTTTGTTATTTCATTCTCTCTTGATGATGACGTTCTGGAAACGTCGTGTAACGTTTTCCAATATTTTATGGCAGATTTTTATTGTTAAATGTTTTAACAAATCTTTACTTATTGGAATTATTAAAGATTTATATCAGGCGTGGCACAATGAGAGATCCAATCCGGACCCAGATTAGGTTGGATCTTAAAAGTTTCCATCTCGCATTGAGGTGCTCAGTGGCGAGTGAGGCCCTTTGAAATTCAGTGGGCAAGGCATCCGATTGCGTGGTCGAAAGGACTGCATTACGAGCCCTTCCTATTGCTAACAATGTTCTTCAACCCACACCTGCGATGTGTGTTCAACTTGAGTTAAAACTTTTTCTCATCATTTATTTTACCCGGATTTACTATTTTGAATGATGTTTTCCATCAGCATTATGTCCTCGTGGGTGGGTTTCCCATCTAATGAACGGCACAGACATGGTGTACTGTTACCTGGTCAGACATAACATGCACACGTGGTACATGGCAAGAAATGATTGCATTGGATCACGCTCTGACTTGCTGAGCATCAGTAACGCCAAAGAACAAGAATTTGTGACCAAACATTTGCTGGCCGAGTCATTCATGTGGATTGGCTACAATGATATACAAAGAGAAGGACAATGGGCGTGGAGTGACAGGTAATTTACACCTCTACTTGGAGGCAGTAGAGCTACACGTCAAAGGAGGGGTGCTGAGGCACAAAAGCTGTCAGAAGTTCGGCCACGTTTACGGACATGACTGAAGGCAAAATTGGCCTTTGGTCGATTCCGAACACAGATGCTAAATTTTCAGTTAGTATGCTAACAACTATTGTAGAAGTAAGAGGTTCAGCTCTTGTTGATTACCGTAAGTGTTATACTAAACTTAAGAAGCTTGAGCACGGACATTTTTGAGACATGGACATAAATGTACGTATATTTTTTAGACAGTGGTGTTTGTTCCAAGTCCTTAGTCTTTAATTTTTATAATGCTGAGACAAAGACCCTCCAGCGATACAGGAGCAGTATCATTCTATTTCCGGTGGATGTTGATCTCTCAAAAAACGTGCGTGCCTTCGATTTGAAAAGGCAAAAGCGACTCACAGATCGACCCTAGATCATTGTGGGATAGGAAAGACGGCACGCTCGATTCGATGGTTTAGCTCCTTATTGTGTAGGTTGCAGCTTATTTTCTCTCTGTAAACGGTCGTTTTGATGATGTAATGGCATGGAAAAATCACGAAATGTTAAAACAAAGTGACATGCGAGGAAAAGGGAATTGCTTTCCCAGTTATTTTCTCATAGGCAGAATGGTTGTGACTAAAATGGATACTCCAATATCAGGTTTCCGAGTAAGGACTGGAACTGAAGAAATTATTTTTCGGTAAATAATTCGGTAAATTATTTATTCACTTCCATTCCTTACTCGAAAACATGATTTTTGGAGTATCTATCTGAGTCACGATCTGGGAAAAATGGATCAAGTATTGATTTTTCACCCAGTCCTCTATGCAATTCAAGTGAAGGCACTATTTATTTTTCCTAGAACTCATCAAAGTTATAAAAACTGGGCTACGGGTGATCCAAACAATGGAGGTCAGTATAGAAAAAAAGACGAAGACTGCGCTGTCTTAAAGTCCAATGGAAAGTGGAATGACTACCCGTGCACCACACGCTTCAAGTACATCTGCAAGGCGAGAGCAAGTAAGTTGTACATCAATTATATTTCCCATCTACTTGGACATAATACATGGTCTCTTTGGGCCGATTATGGTCACTCCATAGTAATCAGAATAGTGCCAAATATTCTGTCCGCGAGCGGTGTCCCCGCTTCGATTTGGCCGGGTCGTTTAAAGCTGTGTTGAGATAACCCAGGTTTAGTGTGAAATCTGACTTATGTGTGAAATGCGACTTCAGATTTGAAAGCTTTGAAATAAAATTCATTAAAACATAGCTGGCAGAGCCACGCAATCAAATTCAGTAGACGTAAACGTGCTAAAAATCCCGATACTGCACGCTGATAGCGTGAGGAAATCGCTACGCCAGAAATTTTTTTTTTCGCGCGAGCGGCCATTGTTAGCGCGGGGAAAAATAATATATTTCGCGACAATAATGGATACAAACAAAGACTCGGCCTACCAGTCCCAAAACGATGACAATTTTCCGACCTTTTCCCTTGGGCTAGAGTTCTTAAATGAGGCAGAAAAAGAGAAAAACAACGGAAAAGGAGACTCGGCATCAGCGCTGTCACGATTCGCTTCACTGTGCCAGGGTGAAATGCAACAAATTTGATGCACAATTCCACCGGCTATGTGATAAAACAATTGGTTCATGCTTTTAGTTGTGCACTATCGAGTTATGGAGCACGTGGGAAGTCTGGAGAGCATTCAAGAAGCTAGAGTTGCCCTCGGCAACTCTTACGCTTCTTTCGTGCTCTCCAAACTTCCCACGTGCTCCATAACTCGATAGTGCACGCTAAAGCATGAACTAATTGTTAAGTATAATTCTTTTTGTCTGGAGTTTGATTTAATACTCTAAAAAGAAAAGAAAATTATCCTGAAAAGGCTTTTTAAGACGGGAATAAAGAAACCCGGATTCAAATTTAACCTTGGGTTAGCTTTTATTGGCCTTCGAACAACCGGGCCCAGCTGGTCCCATTTCTTAACTCTTCCATCTTGTAAATATATGATTGTTTTATGAACCTCCGAAACAATTAGAACAATTAGTATAAAGTGGAGTGTACATGTACATCGAGTTAAATCGCATGGAACAATCAAAGGTATTTAAAACACCACTGGAAAGGGTGTTCCGCCCAATTTCCCTTTGCCTCTTTTCCTCTGGACGGAAACGTGAGTAGCTAGTAGTTTGGACCAACCTTGTTGCGGAAGGAAAAGCGGAACCTCTTCGATTGAGGCCGCTGTTACAACGACAACTTGTATTCTTTAAACTCAAACCAAGAAAAAAATCCCGCTACGATTTTTAAAAACTTCAAATCTCTCCGAGATATTCTTGAATACTTTAATGTTCTTTCCAATACTATTACCTTTCTTGTCGTCAGTACTAGTCGTGAATCTTTCATTCTCTCTGGTGATCTTTCATGCAGTATTAAGCCTAAATAGTTTATCGTTTCCTTTTTGTTCGACGTTTCTGCAGGTCGTTTGTCTGTCGAGGGGCTGCACTCCAGGAGGCGAGATCAAAGATAAAAGACAACCATTCATTAAAGCTCTCTATCGCGAATTTGTATGTTTTTTTTTTTGTTTTTTTTTTTCACCGCGTATCGTATGTGACTATGAAGACTGGACGGATTCTCGCCTGGACGTTGTAAAGCAGGTGCTGTGGGAGAAAAAATGGGAACGGACTTCATATCCTACCATACGCTCCCTCTCCCTTCAAGAGGTTTGGGGGCTAGTCAGAGTGATATCGAGATGGGTTGTATCATAATCATTGAGGAAAGCGGGAGAGATTTATGGACTTTTTCTATTGTTTATCAAACATCAGGAAACGCATATGAAGCGGATAAACAACGCAAATGAGCGATATTGCTTTAACTAAATCTAGAAACACTTCACAAAGCCACCGTGTCTGTGTTCTGTTGGTTTGCCACCCTCAGAGTCACGAAGAAATCACAGTTGTTTTAAAACATCATTATAACCTATGAGAAATATTGTTAAACTGTTGTTTCGGATGAAATTAATTATACCTACCTAATTAAACAATGTACCATACTTTACGAGTTACCAAAATAGTGCGGCGTTGACTGATGCCATTTTTAGCGCGTAGTTATCAATTCGAGCGCAAGAAAAAAGCATTTCAGCAATAAAAGACCGACTTCTCTCTCGAAATACTGTACAGAATGTAACGAAATCATAAGGAATTAAGATAGTTGGGTCGTATCGCAGAATGTTCTTTCGATAGAACTCAAATAACTGCATTAGCTGCACTAAGTAACTGTTAAAGAGCGCTCGCAAGCGGGTACGCAAGGTGATCTTGTGCCGACATCAGTAGTTGATATTCTGTATGTATTTACGATAAAAACAACGGTCCCACTAGTCACTGTCTTGAGGTAGCTAACACCACACTATGCGCTCATTTATTTCTGTAATACTTTAACAATCTTGTGTAAAAGTGCAACTTAAAACAACACTGCATCATGCTAAAATGTGTGATAAGTGAAACGAAAATAAATATTTAACTGACATATTTCAAAGAGGTCTTGTCTTCGACAGTTAAATGACTCTCGATTGTTTTTCTTAGCGCAATAACGTCAAAGAAGAGGACTTTGGTTGTGTCACCATAAAAAATTTACCAGATACCCCTAAGGCCTTGTAATCTTGTTATGACCCCCTCCCCCTTCCTCCTCAGTGGCAGTCAACTTTCTATTGTCTCCCTTTTGGACTCTGTTGGAGACGACTGATCCCTCTCACCTTTCCCCCTGAAAATCCTCAGTGTAATTGGACAGTGAAATAATCCTCAGTGTAATTGGACAGTGAAATAATCCGCAGTGTAATAGGACAGTTAACACCTTGGTGGACAGAGCGAGTCATGCGAGCGCGCTTTTGGCGCACATTTCACCCTAAATAACTCTTGCATGCTTTTATGAAAACGTATAACCGATGTCTCGTTTCTTTCTCGAATTTTCTCATAGTTTTGATTGATTGGTAAGGACTTTGTGTCGCCAGTTCTGTATGTAATCATACTCGTGTTAAACAAATCGGATTTTCGCATCGCGGTCGTCCAATTTTGCTCATCAGTCGTATGATTACAGACCAAATTTGACTCCACTTGATTCTATTACCATTATTAGTAATATTCAATGACAGAAACCAACTAGCCAAGGCGGACCCTCCGTCAGTTTTTTTATGGACAAGTTAACAGCACAAACAACCTTAAAGTACACTTATTTTTCATCGAACATTAAAAACCTATCCTTTCAGAACCTATAACTGTCAATTAAACTTCAGGTACACTTTTACTATTTTTATTAAGATTATCTCAGAGAGGGAATTTCTCTTTGGTTCATATTTTACAATATTTACTGTATTGTTACAATAACGTGGTCAAGTCTTTATAAATTAAATTATTTTAGCATTTACTCTTGTGTCTACTGTTATTCCCCTGCAAATTCAAGGCAGATACCAATAACTTTGATCAATCATTAACTTCAAATCAATCGTTAATCGAATGCACCTTAAAGCAACTTGTTAACAAGACGTTACCGAACTTGTGCGCACGCGTGCTTTGAGATTATTAAAGTTAAAATGTCGTCAACAAATCACGCGGACTGTGTGCAAGTTTCTTTTAGAGGAGTTATCAGTTTTGAGTTTTTCGAGTTTACCGTTTACCTTACATGTAGAATGTTTCTTGTCTTCGTTATTTTTGTACAACAATGAAGATGCGAACAACTGATTTAAATCACAGTTTTGAAGTGTCACTGCAATAAAACCTCAACCTACTTGTTATCTGTTAGCTTGGCATATGCTAATGAATTCTTGCTGCTCCTCCAGTATTCACGGACTGATTCTTTCACATACACAACTTTCAGAGGCTCTGGCCTCCGTTTGTCCGCGATTTTTTACAGCCGCCATGGTCACAGTTTACATCGTTGACCTTTCGGTCGTTCAATTGATCACAAACGTTCGCGACTCCGCCCAATACGGAATATATTTTCTCCCAACTAGCCTTCAATATAATGTGTTATTACACGGCTGGGGAAGTCAGACTAAAATCAACCAATCAAAATGCTCTATTGCCGGTCAATATTCTCTCAGTATTGGACCGGGCACTGTCCCGAATGGTCCCGAATGATACCGCACTTGTGTCCCTTTGAACTTCAGTCGTGTAATAAATCTCTTATTAACCAAGCTTGCTCGGGACCGTACTGGAAGAATATCGGCCCTCGGTCTTTTTTGTACGGACCTCGCTGCGCTCGGTCCGTACTGTCAAGACCTCGGGCCGATATTCTCCCAGTACGGCCCTCGCGCTTGGTTAATAAGATATAT